CGCACACGACCTCACTCTCTCAAGTGCAGTAAACCGTTTGCCGCATTCTCTGTCCGAGTGACTCCGCAAGGGGAGCTGCTGGCCCTCTACACCTACACATCGCCCAGCTACGACGAGTTTGTGGGGTGCGAACCGGTACGTCGGTCCCATGTAGCACCTCCGCAGCCCTCTTTCGTCTGACCCCGACGGTCTGTCATGTGCCGCCAGGGCGAGCTTTTGGGCAGCCGTGTGACCACCTTCTGTCATCCCGAAGACAACGTCACACGGGAGACCATCCTTTTCTATGTGGCGCAGCCACCGCCTCGATCAAGGGTGGGTCCTATCTTTCACACATCCCCGGCCGGTATCTCCAAGGACCGGCGGGTGCTGCGCTTCCACTCTCGGCACCAGTACTTCTTCACCACCACAGGACGGGTACCCATGTTGCCAATCGATCAATCCATGCGCTCAGCGCCTTGCAGAGCGCTGTGAACACTCGCTCACATGATGGACATTTGCGCAGTGTGCGTGGTGTGTCTCGGTGGTCGACCAGGTCTTGTCGAGGGGCTATGACATGCCTCGGTACACCGGCCCACGAGATTCGAGAATACTGCCGTCGCCGTGGCCGTTCGAGGAGGAAGAGAGCTCGCCTGAACCAATCGGCAGCAGTGGATGGACCGCCGACAACAACACCACCACCAACACCACCAACACCAGCGATCAGCGCCTCGACAATGAACTCGACGAACTGCTTAGCACTCTCTCCGCGCCTTCTCCCGCCGCGCAATAAACGGAGCGCTCGTTCTGCAGCCTCAACGGAAAGGGGCGATCCGGTTCGGTTGCGGGCGAGGGCCTTGAGCTGTCCCGTAGCCTCCGCCCACCAAACCAGGGCATTCTCAATTCCCGTTCATCTCCCCTGCGCCAGTGCGGTCTTGGCCTTTTGAGTGCGGGGCGCGAGCGGTCACGGTCTGGTGGGAATTTAGAATTAATTTCGCAGCAATCTCGCCAACTAGAAATTTTCGAGGAGGTGTCGTGCCCTCCGCTGACGTCACCTGGTACGTGGCTGCCCGCTGACCAAGTCCATGCCCGCGGTGTGCACCCCGGGCCATCAACAAGCCGTGAGCACACAGAACAACTCCCGCCACACACTTGCACTTCACCGCAGAGGTACGGCCTCTTCACATCTACCAGCACTGTTGGTGTGCCGGCTGTTCATGCACCTGACTCACCTAGCTCTTCACCATTCAGCCACACCACAACTCATCAAGCAGAGCGGCGACCCCACGTACCGCCAACAGCACCCCAAACGGCCGACAGAGAATTACGGTTGAATTTTGGGGTTGGAGGCACACAACCAACAACTCGCGCCCACAGCCGATCGCCGCGGTTGCCGTGAGCTCCTCGTGGCCACTACATCTTCTGCCTCAACCACCCACTCACCAGCCACCGCCCGACCCTTCATTTCTGCACCGGGACACAACCAACGCCAGCAGCAAGCAAACGAAGGATTGGAAGGACGGCGAGAGGGGCAAACGAAAGGCAAAGCATCGAACAACAGAATTTAATTGAGGAGGAAATCGAGAGGCGAAAAAATCGGTATTGTACAGAGGTGAGATGAGAGCAGGCCAGCCCATAGCGTTTGAAGAGGAGGAGCGGAGGGGCTGGCTCGAGCTCCTCCTGAACCGCAAGAAGGGCAATGGAACGAAGAAAA